TCTTTCATATATCAAAATCTATATTTTAAGCATTGGTGGGCCAAATTACTAGGACCATATAACTATCAATGTTTATTAATTATAACTCACATCCTCCTAACCGTTTATTTAGTTTAGGCGCGCTATAGAATAAGGTGGTTGGGCTCCATAACCAATTATGTTAGGGGCTGTTTAACCAATAATAAGAGACCAGATCAGTCCCCCACCATGTCCCACAGTACATCCCTATCGTGTATTGGGAACATCTTCCAATAATAATCTCAGAAATGATTATGTCATCATCGGAAGATGTTCTCAATCGGGCTGATTTGAACTCCAATAATAACAATCCACTCATGGATATGAAATGACAGATGGAATGGTTATGGGATATATACTCTTGGGCCCTATTTGTTTTTACTTAGATACGTGAATTTACCCGATCAAGTGTTTTCTAGGTTAAATTTGTCTGAATAAATATAGTTCCAGCATTATTTTGTTGTACAAGCTATTTGGGTGAAGAGAGAAGCGGGAGGGAGGTAACTAATACTCAAACATTTCCGCTTACCGTAAAATCCAATATAACAGCAAATGAACGTTGGGATCATGATCAATTATTAGGTTGACTAATTTACCCCCTCTGGCAAACAAACATGGCCTTGATGGCTGTTGTGAGCATTATTATTGAGTCCACATAAACCAAGAACAAAGACAACATGTACAATAGGCTATGGAACCAATTAAGAGTGCATAAATATTAGGGGTGCGGTTCAGATTGCTTCAAAGTAAGCATTATACATTTGTTCAAAAGAAAAAGTTAGCATTATACATTATTATACATTTTCTCAAAAAAAAAAAGCATTATACACTAAGGTTTTAAAACTCGGACTGGACATGGAACCATTTTGGAGACTGTTCCTGGGCCAGACAGTCCGATCATCCGGTTCAAACGGATGGCCCATTTTGATTTAAAAAAATTAAAATAAAAATAATAAATAATAAAAAACTGTTGTCTGTATGGATGGATCAACGTTTCAACTGCCCAAATCAATTGATTTCTGACCAAATCAATGATTTTTGCCCCAAGAACAATTTTAAGATGAAACGGAGCCGATTGCCTAACAGGTTCCAGAGTTAATTGGCCCAACCGTCCTGTCCAATCCTGTTTTCAAAACCATGTTTATACACAGTTTCGGACTCGGGCTCTCGGACCATGTCCATTCAATTTTTGGTAAAAGACCAATCCGAACATTCTCAATCGAACCCATAATACATTTTTGTGCTGGATACATAATGTATAGGCCTCATGGGTCAAACAGCTCCTAACACAGGAATCAAGTGCAGCCAACCGGACTCACTGTGGCTTGTGGGATCCAACAAATCAGGCTACTCAGCTTCCATCTCTTCGAATAGACAGGCCAAAAACAATCTCCTCGAATGGACAGAAGTTAAGATTTAGGGTTAACCTAACTCAACACGTCACCATGATTTTCCTAAAACGATCTTGATGTCATGTCTCCTACTTTAATTAATAATAAAAAGGGTAAATTACAAAGACCCCCTTAGACCCCATTGTACTATGACTATGAGTCAAAGACTTCATTTCCGTTAACTTTTCGTTAAAATCCACTATTATAATATTTTTTAATTCCCATACTACCCTTATCATAAGAAAAATAATGTTCATCTTCTCTGACCTCACGATACACGAACAAGATAAAAAAGGCAGCGACGAGGATGGAGTGCTGGTTTGGTATGTGAAAAACTCCTCCAATCCAAACCAACCAACATTTGGTTGACGGAATTGGCCTCAGAGTTGCTATTAATTACTATTGTTTCTTCCAGGAATACCTTTGTGAATTCGGTAGTTACACTCTGCAAATTACAACAAGAAATTAGGAGTCTAATGAAGGGCTTTTTCTGTAAATCAACTTTTTAGCTCAATAGTTAATTGCAAATCCAAGTTATTGTTTGTTTGACATCCACGAGTCAAGATCAAGATTGCTTTGATCTTTTCTAGTTCTTTTATAGATTAATGTTCCTTACTTGTTTCTCTTCTCTACTCCTCTCTCTCTCTCTCTCTCTCTCTCCGTTTTTATCTTTTGTTGGTTTTGGTACGAAATTCGGATTACCGTGATTGAGTTCTTTCTTGATCTGAAAGTTATGGTTTTATCGGAGTCGTAAGAACCAAGGTAGCTGGATTTAGAGTCATTATTGGCAAGGGAAGAACCATTGCTTTTGGATAAAATTAGGGTAGTATTGATTAACGAGAGGAGACATGAAGGGCGTCAATAACACCATGGACACTATAAGTGCTGCTGCATCTGCGATCGTCACCGTTGATGCTCGACTCCAGCCAGCTACAATTCAGGTAAAATTTCTTGACTGATTCGTTAGCTTTGAAGTTTCTTTCTTAATTATAAAATTATGTGCTTGTATCGGTTTCTAGTTAACATTATTTTTGGTTGAGTTCTTTGAATTTGAATTCTTAGACTTTGTGATTTGCTTCCAAGGCTCAAGATCTGTTGAATTACTTAAGCTTGCTTTCTTTATTTGATTATCCTTTTGCCTTTTCCTCTACGTTTTCATTTGAGAATTTGGGTTCTGATTTGGAGGTGAAATGGAGAATTCTCTTGAATTGAATTTGATAATTAATTTGAAATCTTCCTTTACTAGTTTATGTGTTTTCGTTGCATTTTCACTCTCAATTTCTTTAATTCTTTGTAAGACTTAAAACTTGCCTTGGTTTCAGAAATTACAAAACTAGTTTTACTAGATTTCTTTAGTTCTTTGTAAGACTTAAAACTTGCCTTTAGAAAAACAAAGCCCATGCCTCTTTTTATCAAAATCCCACCGTAGTTGAGGTTTCCGGGGTTCTCTTTATCGTCACTGATCTGATGAAATGCTTAAAGTTCAACCTCTGCTTCCTCGTCGTTCTCATTCTGGTTGCTCAATTTCTCTATGAAAGGTCTCCGATCACCAGCAAAATCTCGACGATTGGTACCAAAACCACTTTCGGTGTTTTTTCTGCGTGGAAATGGACCAGTTCGAACAGTGATAAAAGTTCTGGATTCCTTGCCATCGTCTGCAGATGTCACATGCCTCGTCATTTTGGAAAAAAGTTGCTGCCTTTTTAGGGACATTCCATCAACAAACTCCAAGAAGTGAATTAACAACAACCCTGAGGCCAATTCCATCAACCAAATGTTGGTTGGTTTGGATTGGAGGAGTTTTCCACCTACTAAACCAGCACTCCATCCTCGTTGCTGCCATTTCCATCCTATTCGTGTATTGTGAGGTCAGGGAAGATGAACAGTGTTTTTCTTATTATAAAGGTAGTATGGGGATTAAAAAATATTATAACTGTGGATTTTAACAAAAAGCTAACAAAATGGGGTCTTTGTAATTTACCCTAATAAAAAACCAATTTCCTTTGCCACTGGTTCCCAACCAAGAGGTCTGCAACTCTGCATTCCATGACCCAAACCCATTAATTTATTTACCGGGTGAGAGTTGGCATGGCTCAAGTTAGGGCTGTTCATAAGAAGACCCAACCCAACCAAACCAACCAACCCAGACCGACCCAACCCGAGTCGGCCCGGTTTTCTTCAGCACCAGTTGGTTTCGGGTTGTAAAAAATCATAAACCGATGGTTCGGGTCGGTTTCGGTTTTCATGTGTGAAAATCGAAACCGAACCGAACCGAACCGACTTAGTAGTTAGTTCCTAGTTAGTTGTTACAACCTACTTAGTTCCTACTTAACTAAGTTGTCTCTATCCTAATTACAACCTAACTTAATTTCTAATCTTCTAGTTAGGAATGACATTAATGGCAAGTATTGTAAGACAACTAGACATGGAATTTTTTTGGAATTATGTGTCATTTTTTACTTAGATTAGAAGGTTTCTTGAAATATACAAATTTCAGTTTTATTTCTCTAATACAGTTTGACTTTCTATTTTCTTGATAACTTCTATTCTAACTTGGTCCGCCCCTCAACTCAAGCACAATCTCTAATACAATTTAACTCTCAAGAATCAAAAATTTGAAATTTCAAGTTCTCAAGTCTCAACTTCAAGACATCACTCGAACTTGGCTCTCCCAACTCCCATCTTCTTATTCTCTCAACTCAAGCTCAAGCATGGTTGAACTTAGAGCCGAAACCGACCCAAACTGACCCAACCCGACTCAAACCGACCATATTGGTTTTTCTTAACACAGGATCGGTTTTGATTTCAATTTCAAGTAACCCAACCAGGTCGGGTCGGTTGAAAAAATCTCAATAAACCGACCCAACCCGACCCATGAACAGCCCTAGCTCAAGTCGATAAAGATTTTCCACTTTGAACCGGATAGGGCTGCCAATGGGTAGGTCAGGATCGACCCAGTCTCGAACCGATAAGAAACCACTCAGACCGAGATGCAATTAATCCATACCGGCCCCTATAGAAAGACTATGACAAATACATACAATCTTGTTAGGATCGGTTTAGTTCGGGTCTGTTGGGCTAACCCGGACCATTGACAACTATGGGAGTAGCTTGGAGAGATGAAACACGATTTTGTTTGACTTGGCAAAACCCATTAATGGGTAGTTGCTACCATCCAACAAAACCCGATTAGACTGACAAACCCATATGGCTTTGGCTGGTATCTTACTAACACACTCAAAACGATTTATATTTTATATGGAAATTTGCAATAAACAGCTAAGGCAAATTACACATTAATATCAATTGACCAAATTACACATTAATATCAATATCCAGCATCTGCAGAGACTCAAATTGATCTTAGAATCCATGTAAGAAGTAGTTCATCAATTCAAAGATAGTAAGGGTGATGAATATTGTTGGGGATATAAGATGTAAAAGAAATGAATTAAGCATATTCTTGGTTGATTGGTCCTATGGAGAGAGAGAGAGAGAATTTAAATGCTGCAGTTGGGCTGGGTAGTTGGCTAACTTTGATGTCGAAATTGCAATAGATAAGCAGAGAGAGAGAGCCTTCTCCCTCCCTCTGAAAAATATAGTTTATTTAATTTGAGGTGGTGTTCAGAGTTCAGACGATGGATTTCAGTGAGGGAGTGGTGTGGAAGAGAAAAGGAGGGATGGAGATGGAGATACACGGTTTGATTTCGTCGGAAGACACGACCCAGAAGAACAAGAAGAAGAACAAGCTGAAGAACAAGAAAAAGAAAAACAATAAGAGAAGCGAAGCAAATGGATACCGGTTGGTATCGTTCAAGGATTTACCAGACTACATGAAGGATAACGAGTACATATTGGATTATTACAGAGCTAATTGGCCCCTCAAGGAGGCTGCCGCTAGCGTCTTTCGTTGGCACAACGAAACGCTCAATGTCTGGACGTACGTACTAAATTTCTTCTTCACAAATTCTGATTCATTCCATATGCAGTGGGTTCATTTCATCCATTATCAGCGTTCTTTGTAAGATTAATCTTTTCTTGTGTTCATTCTTCTTTTGGTATAGGCATCTACTAGGGTTTCTCCTATTCTTGGGGTTGACGATGGTGAATCTGATGCAACTCCCACAAGTAGCGGATCTCCTCGGCCAATTTACCAGGTTTGTTTAACTAAAACGTTCTCTTTCTTAATTTTCTTTTTATTATTTTTCATTTTTTTTTTGTTTTAAAAAGTGAAAATATTTGTATAAATTGTTGTTTGATTTGATTGCTTCCTTGGTGTCTTTGGCTTCAATGCAAAGATGGGTTGGAATTTTTTCAGATTCTTATATTTTCTCATTTTTCAATGAAAATTTGGTTTTCCTCACCGTTAAAATAAAAACAAATCAGAAAGGGTTGTATTTGAGCTTATAACAACTTGGAATTTTTTATAAATCCATTTTACCAAGAAAAATAAAACAAAATTTTCCTTCCATTTTCTGTCCATTTTAGAAATGGTCAGCTTCCAAAGCCCAGATCTGCTGCCAAAAAAAAATTTAATATGCTGAGAGCATGGCATCCAGCCACACATTTTCATTTTCTCGTGTAGTACTTATATGTTATATTCATGGGAAGATATTCTTGATATACGGCTGGATATCATGATGTCAGCTTTAGTCAATTGCAAGGCCCATTTGAACAGTTGAACATCCTTTTTGGCCTTACAGGGAATATCTCCCCATGAAATAAGGTACATAGGTACGGAGATATTCCTAGTGGAAGGCTAAAAAATCTGTTCGAACGGAGATTGGCTTCAGTCAGTGCAAGTCCATACTTATGTGCTTTATTTCATGGGGAGATATTCACAATACAAGGTTATAATGGTTGTTCGAATGGGTATTGCAATGACTGAATCCGGTTTCTAAATTCAAACGGACCTTGTACTGACTAAAGCCGATCTCAAAACTGCTGGCCACCACTCACACCAAAGGCAGGTAGCCTAACTAGCTAGCCTGCCAAGGGATGTGGACTTGTGGTGCAGTAGCGTTTCTCTCTTGACCCATATGGTCTAATTCGAGGTGAAATCCGCTATGCCCATGGCATAGGAGATCACACTGGTGCCCCACAGAAGGCATCTCACAAGCGCCCCCACATACATATCTCGGTCTGCATCGGAAGGGTAAAATACAGATATATCCTGTACTTTGAGGGTAGTGATAGATAAATAATTTAGACTTTCAATTGTAACACTTGAGCATCCTAAACTTTCAAAAATAGACTAATAAATTCATCCATTAGTATTTCATTAGCTAAACATTATATAATGTCAAAAATATCCTTATTGTGTATTTTTTAGAACCTTCTAAGGTAACCAAACGTCTCATGATGACGTTCTCACATAGACAGCAAATAACATATTCATATTTTCCAACGATGGCATTCTCTAGTGATGATTTTACTCCATAGAATGATCTCAAAAATATACAAGAAGGGTATTTTTTACATTATGCAATATTTAATTGATGGAATACTAACAGATGGACCCTCGTGTCTATTTCTAAGAGGTTAAGGTACTCAATTCTTGCAATTGAAAGTTCAGGATACCTCTGTCACTACCCCCAAAGTACAGGGTACTTATCTGTAATTTACCCTATTTATTATGGGGGTATGGGAGATGTTCCCAATACACGAGTGAGAGATTCTGTGGGGCGCTGATCTGATCTCATGACATAGCTTTGAGTTTTTTTTTTTTATAAGTAAAAAGAAGAAAATACTACTAACAGAAAGAAGAAACAAATTGTTTTATACAAGGAGGGCTGTTCCAGCGAACAAACTCCGAATCCAAACCTTTAGCTACCGGAGCAAGCTTATGGGCATCCCTATTATAACTCCTAGGCACAAAAGTAAACTTAACAAAAGAAAAGGAGGCAATCAGAGACTTAATACAGTCAATCAGACAAAAAGCTTCCCAAGAAAGGGAAACTGGTTCTCTTCGAGTAAGAACCTGAAATATCAGTCTTGGATGTATTTTGTGGTCTTACTTAGGCTATGTTTGGTCTGTAGGAAAAATTAGGGAAAGGAAGGGAAACATAGGTAAACCTATACAAGGTTTGTAAAGGTTTCCCTATATTTCCTTTCCTTTCTCTACTTTTTCCTTCAAACCAAACACAGCCTTAACGTTATCTCATCCAACTCAAAGTAGGACCACATCAATACATGAAAGGCTGTGATGCATGATTTTTAGCCCAGCCCAAGACTATGTCTACGGGTGTAGCAGATATTTCTTGGTCCAGTTCCACCCGGTTGGTGTTTGGTGGAAGTTGGGCGTGGAAATGGGCTATAGCCCGTAAGCACTACTGTACTAGGCCCAAATCCAGATACAGAACGGGCATCAGCCCAGTCTTGGACGAATTCAAATCAGCCCCCACAACGTCCTACAGTACAATCCTACTGTGTATTAGGAACATCTCCCGATGATGATATCATCACTTCTGGTATTATCATCCAGACATATTCTCAATACAGGGCGGGGATGTGCTGTGTGACATTGTGGGGGCTGATTTGATCTCTCGTCTGGGACCAGTAGTGGTATTAATCTTCTTTTCCCTGAAATCACTTTAGTCAAATCTGACAGTCCAGGTTAGAGAGTTCTGGTGAAAAAAAAAAAAAAACTCTTATGGATCTATCATATGTTTGTGGCAGGTCTTTCCCTGTGGCTGCAGCAACAAATGCTTTTAATGATTCCAAAGATTTCATCCTGGTAAGCCAGTCCATTTTCTGGTTCAAATTAGTCACGGGAGTGGTCTATGTAGGTGTAGGTCCACAATACGATAAAAGTAGGGCTGTCAATGGATTGAATATTGGTTCAACTTGATCCGGTTTAATATGAGTCCATTACTGATGAATCAGGTCCAATGCATTTCAATAATAAATATTTTGAATTGAATGGGTCCAATTCAATGTCTTATTGGACCATCCAACTTATTCAAAATGGTTTTAATTCAGATTGTGTCCAATTCAAACCTGGTTCATTAACACCTCACTTTTATCTTCTGTAAATGGACCAGATATATTAATTCAACCCGGTCCAATTCAATATAAATCCATTATAAATGGAATAGGTATAATCCAATCCAATAAATACTTTGGACTATTAAATCTGGACTGGTTTAATTCAATGTCTTATTGGACTGTCCAACCTTTTCAAATTGATTTTGATTCAGATGGATCCAACCTAAACCCGGTCCATGACATCCCTATTCAAAAGTCAAGCTCAAGCCCTCTAGGGAGTTAATTTTCAGCCCAAGCCCAACCATATAACTGGGCTTAGGCCGCTTGGCTGGTTATGTATTGGGCTAGACTGATCCATTAAGTGAGAAGGCCGAGTAGCCATGCCCGGAAGAAGCATTAACACTCTGAAACTGTTATAGGAAGCAACAAGACTGGTTGAATTGGAGATGGTAGAAGCTGAGATAACACCAACATCATCAGTAACCACAGCAGCCCGATGGCCGTTCTTCGTCTACTTAGCAGGCTCAATGTTCTGCCTCCTCTGTAGCGGCATTTGCCACCTCTTCAGTTGCCATTCACACAGCTTGACTGTCCAAATGCTGAGAATGGACTACTTGGGGATTGCAGTCATGATCGTCACCTCCTTCTTCCCTCCCGTCTACTACATTTTCCAGTGTGCCCCCCTCTGGCAATTCGTCTACCTCGCTGGGATCACAATGCTGGGCATATTCACTGTCATAACACTGTTTTCTCCGTCGCTATCGTCCGGTAAATTCCGCTCATTTCGAGCATTGCTCTTCATCGCCATGGGCTTCTTCGCCATCATTCCGGCAACCCATGCTACGGTTGTCAACTGGTCTGAGCCTCGACGGACCATAACACTAGTTTATGAATCAGTCATGGCATTATCTTACCTCACTGGGGCCTTTTTTTATGTTAGTCGGATTCCTGAGAGGTGGCGACCAGGGTGGTTCGACTTGGCCGGCCACAGCCACCAGATATTCCATGTTTTTGTGATCATGGGCGCCCTAGCCCACTACGGAGCTGCACTCATATTTGTCGAATGGCGCAACGCTGTAGGGTGTAGTAAGCTGTCTAAGGAAACCTTTACAAACCTTTCATTCACTGTATCCGTGTAGTGTCATAAAGGACTAGCTATTAAAACTGATGCAGTGAATAAACTAGTTGTTGCATCAGTTCTTAGAGATGGTTATTGAAGGTGTGAATATGGATGATTTGAGAGAAAGAAATTTATTGTATCATAATTAAACAGCCAAATCAAATTCACAATGAATTTGAAATTGATTATGAAGTTAGTTTTGTGTACAAGGAAGATTACCTATTGCATCAATTCTCACCACTAAGGAATGAAAATGTTTAGATAGCCTCTTTGTCATTCCAATGTTTCAGGGTTCAAAATTTAGATATGATACGCCTTCATATCGAGTGTATTGTACTGTATCGTGGACTGATCAAAACACCTTTTTTTAAAGCTTTTCCTTAAAGTTTAATTTTTAACGTTAATTACCTTTAAAATTGACACCCCCCCTGAAAAATCTCTAAGTAAAAAATATAAAAACTGGTATTTTATAATATTGAAACATCTAGCGAATACGCATGCTTGTGCATTTGAACCTTGGTTCTTCTGTATAATTCTCACATGCATTTAGGGGTTAATAATTTTTATTATGTGACAGTTGATTTTATTTTCAAAAATAAAACAAACTATGTTGCCAAACACCACCTTAAGCAACACATGGGATTAATTTAACTCAAGGTTCAAAGTATCGACACGTATAGGCCGATACGTGTCATTCCGGGACCCCTCCAACACGCCCCTACAATGGGTGTATCGGGGGTCTGACTGGTTCAAGGGGTAGAGGAGCCCTAAACCGTCCCCCTGAACCGGTTGCAAAAAAAATAAAAAACACACCAAAAAACAATATCGATTCACCCGATATGCCCCTACCAGTGTATCGGGCATATCGATATTTTGAACCTTGGTTTAACCTTTTTTTTGCAGCAAAACATGTATAACAAATTGATGGCTAATGCTTTGCTTGTAAGTCAAGCTGGACCAGTGTTTCCAAAACCGGACCAGGAGCAAACGGTCGGATCGAAAAAACTGGGAATCAATCATCTGACCAGTTCCATTTTACCGCAGAGCTGTCTTTTGGCCAAAAACCGTTGATTTGATCAGCAAATTGCTAACCCGAGCTATCGAACCGTCCAACAGTTTTTGGTCATTTTTTTATCTTTTTGCCAGAATGGGCCGTATGTTCGGTTCGAACGGTCAAGAAATAGACCCCTAAACTGTTCGTTGTCCAGTTCGGTTTTAAAAACCTTGGGCTGTCCAATTTTAAATATGGGACTTCAAAATGAGGCCCAAGCTCAGATGAGGTGACCATTTTCCATTCAGAGTTTTATTCATGGTTTTCAAAATCGGACCAAACCGGACAATTGGACCGGAAAAACCGATAATCGGTTAGCCACCCGGGTCCAGTTTTACTAGAAACTGGATATTTGAAAAAAAAAACGTTGAAAAGTCAAAAAACCGCTGACCCGGGCAGTCGGACCGCTAAACCGTTCGACCCGGGCAGCGGTTTGCGGGTTAATACCAATTATATCCCAACCAGTTCAATTTTCGAATCCTAGTCCCTTATTCGGTTTAGCCTTTAGGGTTATTTCCCGAGTTCCCTCCTCACTCCTCAGTCCTCTCAAGTCTTAACCCTCACACCCTACCACCTGCAATGGCCATCAACTCCGGCATCCGATGGCATCACACACCGACAGCGACCGACGAACTTACAGTAGCGAAAAGAGTCACCCTCACCCAAGCACTTGCAGTGGCGTCCGACGGCGAAAAGATTCACCAGACACCAGCACTTGCAACAGCGGATGACGAGCTTGCTGACTCAATACACAAGATGTATGCAGTCTTGTACCCTCGAAGGCTTCAAAACATGAACTGGTAAGCAAGGAATATCTTAAATTTTATAAAATCAACACATTCTTCTTCTTCTATCCTTCTTATTCTTCATTTCCTATGAAAAAAAGGTCTCATCATATATTTTTCTGAATTTTCTTTATTTTTTTCTTCTCAAAATATGTTCAGATAATTTTTTCTGAACTGATATGCTTTTTTCTTCTCAAAAAAGCAGGTGCTCATTACATATTCTTGCTTACATATTTTTTCTATATTTTTTGGAAAATTTTCTATATTGTTTGGAATTTTTTCTGTACTTTTTTGTATTTTCTGTATTTTATTATTTTTATTTTTTTCATATATTGTTCTTTTTTCTGTACTTTTTGTATTTTATTAAAATTTCTATGGTATCTTTTATTATACATAAGTATTTTTTGTTTTTTATTTATTTATGATGTCATGGGTCGAACCGCTCGAGCCGGACGATTGAACCGCCAAACCGAAAAACGGTGCCCTGACCAGTTCGGTTTTAAAAACTATGGTTTTATTTACGCATCCCCATATGATGTTGAGTAGAGATGGCAATTTGACCCATCCTGTGAGGCCCCATCCTGCCTCACCTTGGTCGAAGTGGTTTACTTGACCTTTAGTTGGGATCCGGGGTGGGTTTCAGGGAAATCTGAAACTCTAGGGACCAAGGACAGAGCGGCCCAGAATTAGCTTAACTAAGCACTCTCAGACTCAAGCATTGCAACTTAATTTGCAGGCTGTAATTTAATGTGCCCATGGTTTCTAATTTTAAATCTCAAGTGTTATAGTTGAGTAAAAGATTTCTGAAGTTTTTGACTTGTAATTGACCAGCTTAATCACTCATGAACTGATTCTCATTCGACTAAACTAATATTCCAGAAGCGGTCATCACAACAATTTACTGATTAACTAAACAGAATCGTTTCTGAAGTTATCATTATCAAAGTAACGTTTCTCCTTAGCGGTTGAATCTTCCATTTGACGTTTCTCAGATTAAGGCCACTATGCCAGACATTAAATGGCAGTTATTACTTAAAACAATGTGTCCAATCTAAGCAAAGGTATTGCACATGGTTCCGATTCCACAGTTGAGATAAAAGCTACTATAATGGCAAATGACAAACCTCCATTCTTGCCACTTCATCTCACTAGCGTATTGAGTTCATGCCCGGAATTGCTACCATGAAACTGAATGTCAAAGAAAAGATCCATTTACAATTTGGGGGTAGTGCTGCATATATACCCGAATTCGAATTTTATCTTGTTAATTATAGGTCATCCAAACTCGACCCATTTACAATTGGGTTGAACATGGATCCACCTCTATCTAATCCAATTCAATTCAGGATTGATTTGGTTAGCAGTTGGAATCGGAATAAGCCATTCTTCCCACTTGTTTGGTTCAGATGGGGATCGAAAGAATGGACTCTCATTCCCAACAGGGAGGGAATGATCATTCCCTTATATGGGAGAATTTCATTCAACTAGGAATAAGGATGGGAATCATAATGGTCCATTCTAATTTCAACTCCAAACCCCTATTCCTATAACCCAAACAATTTTTCTTTCAATGTATTTTGTTCATAATACATGTTATTTTTAATTCATTTATTAATAATATGCAATATTTTTATCATTTTTAGTTAAATATATTAACGCTATACTATATATTCAATCTGAATTTAATTAGAATCCAAATAAAAACAAATCAATTTTGAATCTAAAACATATTCGATTCAATCCGATCCATACAGCCCTAATGTCGGGTCATGCCCATTAACAGAGGTGATATAGTTGGATTAACAACTTAGCGTGCATTGACCAAACACATTCTAGTTGTTTGGCACTGTGGGGTGCCAATGGGTCTCATGTGCACCCTGTTATCTCCCTACTGAGTACTGACCTAACTATTCAGATACTAATAGAAGTAAACAAGCATTAAGAGAAGAGAAAATCACTTATAGTAGGTGGTTAACACCTGACATTTCTTGGATTCCAATGCATTTTTATTTTCATATATATTGGAAGCTGGAGTACAAAGATACAGTCCACAGGAGCAAGAAAAAAAAAATAAAAACTGTGGAGAGGTTATGCTTGGCTGGCCATGAACAAGCGTAAATTTGAATACTTAAAGGCCTGTTTGGTTCACGGGATTAAGGGTCTGGAATCGGAATTAGAATGAGCCATTTTAATTCCAACTGTTTGGTTGGATGGAATCAGAATTTCATTCTCATTTTTAGTAGAATGACATTCCTCCATTTGAGAAATGGTCACTCCTCCCTCCCTTGGGAATAAAATCTCATTTCAATTAATTTCAATTTTCATTCCGGTTCCTATCTAAACCAAATAAGTTACAGGAATAGACTATTTCAATTCAGATTCAGATTCTAATAAATTTTAATTCTGATTCTGACTATAAACCAAACGTACCCTTAATTGGGTTGAGATGGTCCAGATTCAATTGAGCTGGGTTTGTGCCTTGGGTTTTCTAGGTCATCAAAGTCTGAATGGGAGTAGGAAACTAGTAAGCTCACTAATGCCCCCAAACCCAGAATTGGGTCGACCCAATTCTTTTTGTTCTTTGATTTGGACTGTTAATGGTCGAAATGGTTCAGTTGCCCAAATCAACTGCAGATTAAAATACAGAGCCCAAGTCAGACAAAACCTAATTGAGTCTGCAAGGCTGCTACTCACCCAAAAGTCATTTCATTCATCTCTCTCTCACATTTAATTTAACACAAATCCCCTCTTATTTAGTTCAAAATCACATTCTCATTTCCTTTTAGAGTATTCAGTTTCACAGACCAAATCAGACTTGTAGAGTCACCATTTCACAAGGCCTGCCGCCTGCTCCATGTGACACAGCCGTCAAATTGGAATCAATGCTTGGACCCACCAGGCCCACCACTACAGTTCTTCCAATCTGAGATCTAAACACGTGGGACCCATATCTCCCCAGGCCCCACCCAAGTTTCACATTTTCCTTGCTCAGTGCATGCATCATACCGTTCACCCACTGATTAGAGATCACATGATCCATACTAACAATCATATCAAAGTCCTCAAGAATCATGATTTATTAGTACTGTGAGAGCAAGCAAAGAGTTACATGTGATTCCGGCCTCAGTTTTGTCATTTGTGATGAAAGTAGGCTTGCTTATCTTCTACTCTGTGCTTAAAAAGTGAAACAAGCTCATGGAATAAACTGTTTCGGGGGCCCACGACCAGGATTTATAATGGGCTTTTCTAGACCTCTTATTGTGGGCCATTAAGCAATGCCTAATATTGAAATAATCCATACACCTTGGTTTTGCTACTTATTCTAAATTTCTAATCCCCAAGCCCAAAACCCAATCCCCATGTAAATAAAATGAGAAAATACCCCCAATTTCAAAAGCATCACTCAAGAGTCAAGATTCACTAACCCTTAGATTTGGGTTTAGAAAATGGCCAATCAGTCTCCACTTTTGAAGCAATGTGTTTATATTGTAGACTTTCAATTGATGTTTGTTTTCTAACTATTTTTAATTAATAAATCAGAAGAGAATGAAGAGGAAGCGTGCGGGCTAGTCTTCTTTGATTCAGAAAATCCCTCAAGCAATTTTTTTAGTTATCCATCACATCACAGGAGTTCAATTGCAATTGTTCTGCGATAAGTGATGGGTCGGGTTAAATGGTAAACCCTCATTGACCCGACCCTATTGGGTAGGGGCAGATCATCCGTAATCGGGTTTTAGGTTGAGGTGAACCATTCTAATTCCCATTGATTAACAAATCAGGATGTGCTCCTCGCACCAACTTCACAACCCTAACCTACTGTGTATTGGAAAGATCTTATAAATAACAACATAAAGCACGGGAGATGTTTCTGATGTACGGCTGGGAGGCATTGTAGGTTGGTGTAAGGAGTGTTCTATTAGAAGTAGATCCACACTTTCCATTGACATTGCAGCATTGAAATATTAATACATATAAGTTTGTTTAGTATAGATGCATTTATATATTAGATGAATCGGACATGATAGACCCTGTTTTAGTCGGGTTGAGTTGAACAGACCCATTCCAAACCCGATCCATTGACATCCCTATTTACATCCTTGTTTAGAGCACAAACCCAATAAGAAAAAAAATATTCCCAAACTTACTGGCTGCCAAGCAAGAGGCCAAAGGTCAATTTGTAGGTCTCTAGACTCAACTCTCAATGTTTTACTCTAGGATCCTAATCTTGAATTAATTTAATCAACCTGCAATCCTCCTCTACATTCGCCTACGGAAAGGCTTCAATGTTTTAATATAATCTGACTTTGAAAAAGAGAGAAACTCATCAAATCACATGTAACAGAATTCCACCACACGTGAAACAGCTCTAGCTTTCAATGGTGTTAACAGAAGCAAATCAGCCGACCCATCTGCAACCCAATTTCTATATGTTGATATTTGATTACACAACTCCTACAGAGATTCTCTAATTCCAGGAGAGCAAAATTAATTATTCTATTAATATTATCTTGCACTTGTACTTAATGGGTGGCAATACTTAGCCCCCCAACTTTGCGACAAAGACCCACTAAATTTCAAGATTTCAGTATTTTGCCCCTTATACGCTAATGGGGTTGACAGCCAAACTAAAATTACTAAATTGTTTAATCGAGATTCTATGAACTACTAGCAACAAATATCAAAGTGATTATGTATGTGTTTGGTTCTGTGGGCCTTTATGGATAGAGTGTTTATTTGCATTTTTTCACTTTAAACGTTTATTTATATTTTTTCATTTCAAACAATGTTTACTTCAAAAGTTTTCTATTTTTGTTGTTTGGTTGAACTTTACTTTAAATGTTTTTCTCTTTACCTCAGATTAATACCCATTATAGTATGACACATCAGTATTTAGTTTCAAGAACCGTTGGGGCGTTGGGAGAAACAAGAATTCGATGTTTCCTCAAATGCCCCATGCACAAAAATCAAAACGTTTCAGTTTTTTACCTAAAACCAAACAATTGTTTCACTTTGCTTTATTTACAATAAACGCCAACACCTATGTAATGCTGATATAGCGACATTTTTTCAATAAATGCCAACAGAACCAAACATTCCCTATAATAACTAGGAGTATAAATTGGACGGACTCGGATTGAACTTTTATCAAAATTTGAATAGGCCCGGCCTGAAGACCTAAGCCCAAAATAGTGTAAAATGCTAGCTTGGATTGGCCCGTTTAGCACCCCCTATTAATAACCTTTTCTAAAGCACAGATCGTTCTCAAGGTATTGATGAACCAATTGTTCTCAAGGTATTGAGAGAAACATGTGAAAGTTAGGATATTAGAAGAATTAAATCAAAGGGTAATTTGGGGTTTTAGAAATGTTTAACAAAATATTCCATTGAATTAACGGACGGAATACTAACAGCCGGGGGGAAAGTGCTGGAACCCAGAAGTTTAGGGGTCATTGTTGAAGAAAAAAGTTCGTGGTCCATTGATTAAGACACAAGTTCACTAGTCATTAATCCCAAACCGTTGGATCAATTAACCCGGTTTCCATTTTTATCCTAATTAGCCTTGATTATTACTTTTTCTGTTACTTATAACGTACTGAAATCTGGAGTCCACAAAATCCGTTCTAATGCCTGAGCTGAGGTTCAGATTGACTAACCATTGACATCATCTTTGAAGACCAAGCTTTCTATATTCAGAAAGGGAAGGAGTTGGCAATACGTGTGCTTAATACTCTGAGACTTCATCTACGGTCTGTACACCAACCCAATAATCAGTCCTCAGAGAATCCCATGTTTCTGATCTTTCAATTAATATAAGCTATATAAGGAACGCCGTGAATAGAGGGAGGAAGAACAAGGAAGGAACCAAACAAAGCAACAACATAGCAGAAAGCCATGGCAGCCTGCAGCTGTCCTACGCCTTTCTTGTTCTTCCCTGCTCTCCTTCTTCTCCTTCTCTACTTTTCTCCGCTTAATCAGCAGAACCTCACCACCCTTTTCAGTTCATCCATTAACCCTTTTAATCACAGCAAGATCAACCCTCATGTGCAGCAAGTATCTCCAGCGCCGGTGCCAGCTCTGGCCATGAATCTGATGCAAGAATCCTCTACTGGGTCTCCCGTGCCATCCTTCGAATTTAGTCCTACTACTGTGACTGACACTCGCATTAAAGTGAGTCAGTTCAAGCTTGTTTAATTCAAAATCTTTTCTTTCTTATTTTTTCTTTTTCAATCTTGGTTTTTATTCAATTTGCTTTTCTTGTTCCTTTCAATTATGTGCAGAAGAAGGGTAGCTTGGACAAGATTGAAGAAGGCCTCGCAAGAGCTCGGGCGGCAATTCTCCAGGCAGTCCGTTCACATAACTGCACAACTCTCACAGAAGATGAATTCATCCCCAGAGGATCCATATACAGAAACCCATTTGCGTTTCACCAGTTAAGATGAAGAAAACTGTGCTTAGTTATTTATTTCCATTTGAAATCTTCACTTTCTCTCTGCAAATCAGAAAGTAGAATGTAGATCATTCTGGATTACAGATTATCTTGCTCGTTGCATGTTTCCCCACTGAATACAACCGATTGACAAAAAGGGTTTACAGGAATTAGCTTGCCAATCAATGCCATGATCCAGGAATTGGATGGTTCCGATTGACTGGAATTATCATTGATTTAAACAACTGTTACAAATCAGGAAATCACATTGATGGAACAGTGAACCGGCCAATATTAACGAGCCTTACTTTTTTTATATGCTTCCACTCCTACTAAATAAGCTATTACTCTCTCTCTCTCTTCACATTAAATTTCTTCTGTGTATAGAAACTTGTTCTCTGTACTTTTGGTGTCACAGTCTTGCACTGTTACTGCACATAGCCTTAATTAGGGTTCACATAAACTATTATATCTTTACCATTTTTGAATTACTGAGAAGACCTTAGAATGGTCCCCATTAGGGTTCATAAGGACATAAGGAGGTGAAGTCAATGATCTAGTTCACACAAACCATTGGTCTACTAGACTACAATCCTCCTAGTGTCATGGGGATTACAATTTACAGTAGGCAAGATCCAGTATTGCTGGGTCAAGCTTGTAACAAAACCCACTTGAAATAGCCCCATTCCATGGCCCATTAAGAAGACCCAGATCCAAATCCAGTATATTTGGTCTACTAATTGTGAGTTTGTCTCTTCAATTTGTGCAGGAGCCACATTGAGATGGAGAAGAGATTCAAGGTGTGGGTGTACAAGGAAGGAGAGCCTCCACTTGTCCACGATGGGCCTTTAAACAACATCTACTCCACTGAGGGGCAATTTATTGATGAAATGGACAATGGCCATAGCCCATTTCTGGCCCGCCACCCTGACGAGGCCCACGCATTCTTCCTCCCGCTCAGTGTGGTTAACGTCGTCCGGTTCATCTACAAGCCCGTCACCTCCTACGCCAGGGACCGGCTGCAACACGTGGTCGAAGACTACATCGGAGTTATATCCAGCAAGTACCCATACTGGAACATAAGCCAAGGGGCTGACCATTTCATGGTCTCCTGTCACGATTGGGTACGTTTAATTTGCATATCTTCATCCACCCATCAACATTTTTCAACCCATCGGACGGTTATGATGCCTTCACCATCCATCAATTAATGGGTCCAATTTGTTTATGCTTAGGCAGTGTTTGGCTTGATAGCAAATAAGAGATGAAAAGAAAGTTGAAGGAATTTTGTTAAGTTTACAAAATTTTGTCAAACTAATTTCCCTCAACTTTTTTGTTTCTCTCTTATTTTAGGGTTTAACTATGATATCATAAAAATGGTAGCCTATTTATCAAAATTCACATGGTGATTGGATTGGTCAAAACTCTCTACTGATATCATATCTTTTCGGCACCATAGATTCCCTTATTTTTTTATTCAAACTAAACATACCCTTGAAAGTTGTCTTAATTAAGAGTAATAAACAATTATTTTATAATCAAATATTAAATTGTGGCTGATAAAAGATAAGTGTGACTTGGTAGTGGGATTATCTTCCCTAAAAGAATCTTTAGATCTTGAGGTTTATATTAATTAAGTAGGTGTTTCAAGAAAAAACTATATATTATATATATTTTTTTAGTTTTATTTTGTCTAAGATCAAGACAATTATTTTATTGGTTGTCTCACCAAAGACAACAACTTTAAGACTAGAGAGAGTTCACAGTAAAATAACAATTTCTACATTCCGGGAAGGACATTATACAGAAAAGTTCAAAGCATGCTCAATGTGAATCCATATTATACACATAAATGTATGGATGTCTCAGTGCATGTGCATGCATGTAATATGGATGTATGTATCTGCATATGGATGCCAAATTGCATGTATGTGTATATTTATGGGTTCTAGTGCCAGCCAGCTTAAGCGTAGAAAAGAGACAACAGGTTTAATTCAGCCACATGAAGAGTTGACAATGCAGCTATCTTTCCATTAATCAAGGCTATAGCCTATGCCATACATATGAATTGAGTTAATAGAAAGATTAGATTAGATTAGATATTAATATAATTCCCAATTAGTTCAGATCTCAAGTTCACGATCTGAACCCATGAACCAGTTTTTCTTGGTAATCGTAACAAATATTAGAATACTTTTTCTTTACATTTTCTTTATGCTAGCTAACAGCAGTACCTATTGTCTTGATTAACTCATAAACACTCTTCCTCCATGTGTGGTTTCAGGCACCAGACGTCTCCGACGCCAACCCTGAGCTCTTCAAACACTTCATCAGAGTTCTCTGCAACGCCAACATCACAGAAGGATTCCGGCCGGGCATCGACGCCTCCTTGCCGGAGATAAACACACCTTTCGGAACCCTTGGCCAACCCAACTTCGGCCAGGCCCCCCACAAGCGGACGCTGCTCGCCTTCTTCGCCGGAGGGGCACATGGCTACATAAGGAGGGTGCTGCTGCAGCAATGGAAGGACAAGGATAAAGATGTCCAGGTCCATGAGTATCTCCCAAAGGGCATGAACTATACCAGACTAATGGGCCAGAGCAAGTTTTGCTTGTGCCCCAGCGGGTACGAGGTGGCAAGTCCCAGAATTGTCGAGGCCATCTATGCAGGATGCGTCCCAGCCATAATTTCCGACAACTACTGGCTGCCGTTCAGCGACGTACTGGACTGGAGTCAGTTTTCGGTGCAGATTCCGGTGGAGAAGATACCGGAGATAAAGACGATATTGCAGGGGATTTCTCAAGACAAGTATCTGAAAATGCAGAAGAAGGTCAGGAGAGTTCAAAGGCATTTCGTGCTTAATCGGCCAGCCCAGCGGTTCGACGTTATCCACATGATTCTTCACTCGGTGTGGCTCAGAAGGCTAAACCTCAGGCTGCCATTGATGGTTTCTTGATTACCAGGTGTACGAAAACCTCTATAGATGAGAATATAATTTGTATAAAAACACTATTTACGTGTCTAACGAAGCGCGAAAGAGAGAGAGAGAGAGAATTCTCTGTAATCGGGTTGATTCAAATTAAAAGTAATGTAATGCAATGATTAATGACTAGAAGCCAGCATTAGGTGTGTCAATTGGATCGGATTTTGTCCAATCCGGTCCGCTTAAATATGAATCCATTACAGATAGATTAGGTCCAATTCAATCCGATGAATACTCTTTTTTAGATTATTTTAGACATGTTTGAATCATCCAATCTGTTTAAATTGATTTTAAATTATGTTTATTTTAACTTAATCCTGTTTCATTCACATCTGTATTCTTACTTTTTATGAACCAGATATTGGTTCAGTTTAATCCAATCTAATATTCAATATAAATCCATTGCGGATTAAGTCTGAACAGATCCACTTCAATATGTCTTATTGATCCACTCAATCCATCCAAATTGATGCAAACATTCTGGTCCATTGACACCCCTAATTTTAGGGCATTGATTTCGGAAGCATCTAACATTATGGTGGGCCCATTTCTTTAACAAAATCTTATGGCCCGGCCCACCTGCACACCCTTGTGTGCATATCCAAGCATTCAAAGTTCAAAGGGATTTAAATGCAAACCACATAGATCTTCCATGTAGCAGCAAATTTGCAATAGAGTTGAGGCCCAAAAGGACCCCACATGCTCTGTCAGTGGGGCCTTAATACGAGTTGATATGGTTGATATCAGTTGCGACCACTGTCGCAGGATCCAATGAAGCATGAATAAATGAAATTATCCGGTCTCAAAGGACCAAAACTGTGTAGGTAGGCAGGTAGGTGGCCTTTTATACGGGTTAAGATTCGAGTTCGACCATGATATGAAAAAGATATGATATTTAAAAAATAATTGACCAATAAATTAAAATTATAAATATAATAATGAATCAGGTGTTTTTATCAAAATTCATGAATGGGTTTTGATTGGTCAAAACTTTTTTCATATCATATCTTTTTCGTGTCATACATTTTCCCCATTCTAAAATAAGGTGGGCCATACGTCTGCTGCTGTGGACTTAGGGCTGTAAAGAATGGAATTGAATTTAGTTAGATCTAAATTTGTTTTGTTTATATTCGAATTCAAATCGGGTTGCAAATAGATCAAGTGATTTATTTATATTCAAATTCGAATTGGATTGTATCAATGGGATATCTAGTGGATTCAAATTGAAATCAAATTATAATAAGGTTAACTTGTATGGATGAGTTAGATTAATAATAATTAAAATATTATACTTATTAATAAAATAAATTAAAGATGACTTTAATATTATATTTTATAAATAAAGTGAATTAAAAATTACAACACCGGATAGAGGTAAATACATATTTAATCTAATTATAAACAGATCAAATTCGTCCCATGCTTAATAGCATTGGGATCCAAATTTGAATTTGGACACCTTGATACCGTTTGCAGCCCTACCCATCTATGGAGCCTATGTCCTGAGGACCAAGACGCTCCTGAAGCGGAAATCCATGCACTCACAAGAGATATGGAAAATAGACATTGGAAGAAATTCAAACTCCCAAGACCAAGGTAAAGTTTCTTAGCCAATCCAGGGGTGGCTTAGTTGGTATGTTAGTTGGTTCGCTCCAGTATAGATACACTCAACTCCTACAACCACAGATTTTGGGGAGAGGGTTATTAGTGGTGTGTATCACCAAATATCAGAAAAAAAAAATGTAAAGTTCTTCGGGTATTCCCTGTAAGTCCGACTAGTCTTTCTCAAATTGTTTGAAAAAACAGGTGGATCTAGACCAAGATAGAGTGCAAGGCTTGATCGTATCATTCGGAACCCCCACCCCTTCATTATGCAAAATAAACGCCATTAGTCTCCATTTGGAAGGAGTACAAATGCAAATATGTAAAACGCAATACCTTATATTTTGTATAGATTTATACTGTATATATTTGCATTTATACCCCTTCCAAACTAAGCCTTAGGGTTTTGACCACTTTCAAGGTTAGGCAGGACTAAGATCAACCCCATGACCAACTTTGGAAAAAAGAAAATTATATAGTCTATTCAGGGGACATTTTTTCCCTCTATTTCTCCCAAGAAGTATCTGTTTCAGCGCAAAAAGCACATTGTTATTTTTTGCAGAAGGGAACACAGGAACCCTCACTATGGAAATATAAACTAGACACAAGGGCAACAAACAAGCCTGAGAAAATCAGTGATATTATATTTCAGAATCAAGATGATTCTTAGGGCCCATTTGTTATTTGGTGTAGCAGCAATAGGGGTTGGGAATCAGAATTGGAATAATAAGTAGGGTGTCAGAGTATTGGACACAATCCTGGAGTATGTATCAAGCCCAGCCCTAGGAGGAACAAAATGCAAAGCAACTGGATTTACTTGCTTCCCTTCTATTAATTTCAAGAGTCTCATATACTTGCATTTATAAGTTACCCACCATCAGGCCCATATTGAGGTCTAATTCTTAATTAGATCTTCAATCTTTGAGCCAAATCTGTTGGCTCGGATTTTTGGGCTCCATTATGGGCTTTCTCCAGTATAATTGGCCCTTAAGGGTATCCTCAAGTCTGAGACTGCCAGACCTTTTTTGGAGTCGGCTTGGTCTACCACGCAATATTCTGAAAATCAAGAATAGTTTGCATCTCTATAGGAATTGTAAACAAATCGGCTAAATTCAAGATTAAAATATTGATATAATATGCCAAGTATCGTATCGATATCCGTAGTGGATGATACAACTGACATTTTATCGTGCCAGTTGTATGCATCGATACACACAGATACGCACACAACTCTTATGTTAAAAAACGTGACTAACATGATACAAACCCTAGCTTAATTAAATAGACACTAAGCATTATGCGTCTTAAGCCACTAATCCATCCTTTAATTTGTGATAATAAGTGAAATAAAATAAATTTTATTAATTTGATCATAAACATACAATCTAAAGAAATTTCATATTAAATATTAATATGTTCAACAATTTCAACTTAAAATTAAATAGAATAATATTAAAAATTAATATTTATAATTATAAATATAATAAAAATTCTACTAATTTTATATTTATATCAAAAATTGATTTTCTACTCTCAATAAATTTATACAAATAAAAATATTAATAATAGAATAATTATTTTAGTACTTAAAATCCATACATTTGTACATGCATGCATGTACATACATACGTACATACATACATATATATATATATATNATATATATATATATATATATATATATATATATATATATATATATATATATATATATATATATATATATTATCAATTAAATTTGTACATATTTATTGTTTATAAAAGTTAAAAATTTTTTACAAAATATTCAAGCATACAATATTATATTAGATCTATCAAATACACGAATTTAAATTTATATAAAAATGACTTTTTATTTCAGAAAATTTATTGAAATAAAAATCTTAATAATGGAATAACTATTTCAGTAATTAAAAATTATGAATTTGTGCGTGATATGTATTTTAAAAATTTTAATATATAGATATGAAAAATTTTAAGTTAAGATTATATATTTTATTAATAAAATTTATTATTTACAAAAAAGAAATATATTGTTTATAAAACATTTCAAAATATAATATTTAGTTGACTTTTTTTTTGTTATTGTTGAAAAGGTAAAAATAATAAAATATAAAATAATTGATATAGTAATTAAAATATAATAATTGCATATGTTTTGTTTCTTGGACTTAAATAGAATATAACATAATAATGGTTTTATGCATGTGTTAATTTGTAAAAATCTATATAGTATGAATCTTGGACTCTTGATTGATGGATTATCAACAAAATTGTATGATATCTATGCATCCCAATGTATTAATTGTAATATATTTCTTCATATATACCATTAAAATATGCATTTCGTATGCATTTATACCTTATTTGTGGTTATTTTGACCTTAAAGTTAGTGTAATTGATGTATTTATGAAATTTATATGTATTTTTCTAACGTATCCATGTATTTTCATATCTTTCATTCGTATTCATGCATTTTTTAAATGTATCTGTATCCGTATCCAAGTTGTCCAATTCGATACCCGATACCGATACTTTGATCCTTGTCTAAATCCGACCTTATAAAAAATCCACCAGGTTCTCTAACCCCAAATTTGAGTTAGGTTTGGATCATATTTTGGATATCCCATAAGGATCTGATTCAGATCGGATAGGGGTGATTTAAATTTAATCCAATTTTAAAACGATTCCTAATTGACGATCCAATCTAATTCAGAAATCCGGCATAGGGTAACTGAATTCAATAAAATCGGACAAATCATGATCTAGTCCATTTTCACCCCTAATCCTCTAGATGATGCGTATCACCTTCTTTCCCAGCATCCCGAAGAGCTTGAGTTTTCAATGATCCTACAAGATTACAAAGAGTAGGAAAAGAATTTCCCATTCCGTCATCCATTCTTAACAGATTACAAAGACGAGAGAAGGAATGGGTAAGAAAAGATGTTGATGGGAGAATGAAAGATTGAGAGAGAGAAAGAGAGATCAACTAAAACTGGTGTTTTACTTACAATCTTCCCAATGGTTTATGGTGTTTGAACAGTTGAGCCACCAACGAATCCAGCCAGTGGTTCAACCATCAGGGCGGTCTGATCATTTTATACAATCTCTAGATGATCCTACCCAATTTCATAAAATGTCGCATGTCAGCTAATCTAGATATCGTCTATTGATAGATAATATTCATGCCAAAACGACAAAAGATTCATATTGAGGAGACCTACTCTTACTAGATTCCACTTTGAAGATTAACTGGAAAGGAGATCACCTTAAATTCTTATATAAAAAATTAGTGCCCCCCGTAGAATGCACGGGAAAAAGATGTTAGGGCTTATAGGGCTTAAAACTTATTGCTCTCTGGGGTTATACAAATTAGGAATAAGGGTGGAAATTTTCCCATCCCCGTTAGTTACTTGACGTCCCCAACCAAACGGAGACAGGAGTGAAGTCCACACCCCACCCCAAGGTCCCCAACCCTAATTATATATATGTATGTATTATGTTAAATATATTATATTATTTATGATATATATCAAAATAGTATTTGTATTTTAACTTTTTCCTCTATTTTAAATAAATATTTTTTTTTTAAATCAAACTTTTAATTAAAAAATGCAAGGATTTGGGTCCCCGATGGGGAACCCATCTCCATTGGGGACCAAGGTGGAGGCTAAAATTTTTCCTCAACATTGTTCGGGCTTGGGGACAGGTATTAATTTAAAACTTGGGGTCAGGGACAAGGAGTATGATCCCCGCCTCGAACCCATTCAATTCAATTCCTATAGGGGGGTCATCCCCCGAACCCATAAATATAATTCCAATAATCATGGAAATTATAAATGTAGTATCCAATAATTATGGAAATTATTAAGTTTATGGTTTAAATTTCACTAAATTAAACTACCAAAATCAGTAATAGTTAGTAATTAATGTACCAAAATCACTCATTGTTGCTCAAAAATTATAGTAAATATCAAAATTACAGAAATTGTAAAAAATAAATTGATATTTATTTAAATTAATTCCACTAAAGCATTATTGAAAAATTTTAGTTATTATTTGATAATATTATTAAATATTAATAAATTGACCAAAATTATTGAAAATGTAAAACAAAATTTAAATTTATTTGAATAAATTTTCCAATAAAAATTACTCATAATTTTTAATTATTAATTTGGTATTTATTAATATTTTAATTAATTGTTCATTTTATCAGTAATTATTTATTTCAATAATTAATTTTCAAAAATTTCTGAAATTAAATTTCCAATATCAGTAACTTTCAGCAAATAATTATCAGTAATTAAATTATCAAATTACCAATATTACAAAAATTTATCAAATGAACTTAATTACCAAAATTAATTTAACTAATTATAAGATAAAATTTAACTAATTTAATAATTACCAAAATTAACTATTCTGATAATTACCAAAATTGTTATGTAAAAATTATCAAAACATTTAAAAATATTTAAATGTAGTGATTGTTAATAAATAATAATAGTTTAAAAATAAATAAATTTTTTTCTGAATTGGCAATTAATAATCAATAATAATTTATAGAAAGTTATACAGTAATTTTCAATAAATTACAATGACTCGCTTAATTATTTAATGCTAACAGTAATTTCCAATTCATTTTTAGTTAATTAATCTACCAAATTTTAATGAATAATAATCCGATTATTTAGTAATTTGTATAATAATTAATTATAGACGTTTTGGGAATCGGGTGTTAGATGGGCGAGGGTCGAATATGGTTTGGATCTGAGCCTCTACATCATCTTCTTAATCTGTCAATATTGTGCAACCGTCTCAGGAATTGAATCAAGATGATTGAAAACGATCCTCATACTAATGGGGTGACCCAAATCATGGGATCCCAGTTGCAAGTCATCGTCAGCACAAAATATTCATTAACCCGACCTAATAGCAATGTAATACGAAAATTTCAGTATTATAAATTTATAACTAATTTGATAGGCCCTTTCAAAAAGAGTAACAGATTGGATTTCGATAGGCCATTCAAAAAAAAAAACTGTTCGGGTTGCAACTTAACCCAACCCGATATAACCATTTACATCGTCTTCTCTACCCAACAAATAACCATCATAGAACAACTTCTAGCATTCATAGTAAAAAAGAAAAAAAAAACAATAAAGAGGATGAAAATATACCTCTTTCTAATGTTAAGAACTAACTCCGTAGATGTATTTTGAAGGATGAGAGAACTGCTAGTATGTTTCCCAAAAAAAAAAAATCATTGTCTATTGAGAAGTGAAAATAGAGCAAAAAAAGATGAATAGAGAAGTGGATAAAAGAATACATGTTTGAAACGTCGAAAGAAAGAAGAAATCCCCTGGAGGCTAGAAGTATTTTGAATGATCATAGAACTATTGGCACGCTTCCCAAAATTTAGAACCAAACCATGATTCGATATACATTGCCGTGACAAAAAAACAGAGCATTAGGAAGTGAAAACGGATCGAGAAAGATGAGCAATCTCCAATTTGTTTAGATGGTTAATCAGACAAAACTGATGTAGCACGATTTGGTCGCTCCCTGCTAGAAGGTAGTTCAGACGTTGGACTGCTACGTGGCCGAGTCGAATTGCAAGGAGAAAGATCAGAGGTAATCGGGGTACTTTACCCAGTGTGGGCACTCCGGTGCTTAAATTAGGGTAGGAGATTGTGGAGAATTAATTGCTTTGAAAGTAATAGCAAGTGAGAGTTAAATCCCGTGCTCCATTGGTGTGCAGTGTAATCCCAAGGAGATCGCAGATAACTAACTCACTTCTAGAAGGAGGGTACATGGCACCTCGGCAGGTCAATGATTGTGGTGAGCTGCTTGGGCCCTAGTCTTAGCTAAATGACTTGAGGTGCCCTAAGTGACTTACTGCTGAAGTGTCCGGAGATGCTGGGATGTCACCAAGTCAATGGGCCACTCCACGTGTCATGTCACTGGTCGGGACAAATTATCCCTCATCAAAAACCTTGGAAGATGAGCAACTTTGGGAGATGGTTCATCACTCTAAATGAAGTTTGCTCACTCCAATGACGCCAAAATACAGAAAAAAAAAATCACTGGTTTGAATAGATGGGCAATTTAGAATTAGCTCAAGATCTCCTTTCCACGTACACCTTGGCTAAATCCTACGGAACAAAATCAGTTGCTTGACTCTCTCTCTACATAGATGGAATACAAATGGAAAAATAGAGGGTTGATTTAGAATTAACTCCAAGATCTTCTTTCCATCTACTTGACCTCATTGCCTTTTACTTTAAATTTTGAAATTCAAAATTATCTTAAAAAAGAGAAAAGGAGAAAATTAAAGACAATGCAGGATGAAGATATTGGAGCAAACGACGATGAAGAAAAGTTAGTTCTATTTGAATCCCATCTTTTTTTAAACTAAGCTCTCACTAGTCTCTGATATGCTCAGATGGTTTGAAGAAAAACTGATCAATCAAGTTGATTTTTGGCCTTTACTCCTATCCTAGATGCATGCATGGGAGATAGTACATGGGGCCTTAGTCTTCTAAATGTCTGCCACGTGGTAAGTTATGTGGACCCCAGAACTAACGTATATATTATTCTAATGAGCAAAACAAACAACACCTCTAAAAGAAGCTAAACAAAACCAAACTTTTAACACCAAACTCTATATTCCTACAGTTTAGCTGAAGTGTAGGAACCCTAAACCCAACAACTCACCAACTATTTGTCACTAAAATGCTTCTAATCAAGCTCTACTTCTTTTAATAGGGCTAGTTTTGTAATTTCAACAACGGGTAAACCTTTTTCCCGCAATGAGCATTAAAGCACGCTGCCTGGTGCAGTGCAGTGCTGCCCTTTTCGTAGTTCTGAATTCTTCTCACTGTCTTCCTCTCGTACGCCGCCTGCCTTTCTCTCATCGCCCTGAACATTCTCTTTGTAAGAAGTCAACAGAAGTACAGAACCAGAGAGAAGAAGGATCGAATCACTGACACCAAAGGAAAGAATTTCTAGCTTTTTTCTTCCTTCTCTCTTCTTTTTTTTTTATTTCTACTGATACTGATACACAAAGGAGGAGGATAGACAATTAGACATGGAGGTCTCTCGTTGGGTGTTCCTTGTTCTCAGTCAGCTATTGATCCTCTCACTGGTGAAAGCTTTCAGGAGTCCCGGCCATGCCATCTCCTCCTTGTTCTTCTCCAATCCAAAATTGGAAGAACCAGTTTGGAAGGCAAATCTGCAGACCCATTTCCCAACTTCTTCGCAACTCCAAGCTGTTGTCTCTGCAGCCAACTCCGTTGCTCCATCCATGCAACATTCAAGAACCATACCAGTCATCGTAAGTTCTCTCTCTCTCTCTCTCTCTATAGTTGTTTTTCTTTATCTGTTTGTTGGTATGTATTTTTCTGCTATAGCTGAAAAAAGCCAAGACACCGAACAAGGCTGCACAGCTCGAAGAAGGACTTGCACGAGCTAGAGCTGCAATCCGAAAAGCCGCTTCAACCCGAAACGTTTCGCGTGCCATCGACGCCGATATCCCGAAAGGCGATATATATCGTAACCCTAGCGAGTTTTATCAGTAAGTGTAGACGTCAAAGGTTCAAAAGCAAGCAAGAAAGAAAGTAGTGATTCATTTAAAAGCTCTCAGAGCTTGTCTTCTAAGTCACCACCCCCACCACTCCACTATCACTTTTTCTATTTCTTAAAGGATTCTTCTCTCCAACGCTATCTAGGAGTGCTCTGTGCACTCAATTTACAGCACACTCATAGCTCCTTTTCCACAGCACAAAAGCTGCTTCTTATCATTCATGGCTACAGCTCTCCAAATGATGACAAGAATACCCACCTTTAACGAGAAACTCTCTGTGCTGATCTTGATCAGGAGCTATGTAGAGATGGAGAAGAGATTCAAGGTGTACGTATACCAAGATGGGGACCCACCCATGGTTCATGAGGGACCATGCAAGGACATCTACACCATTGAGGGCAGGTTCATAGAGGAGATGGAGTTTGGGATGAATGGGTTCAGGACCAGAGATGCGCAACGTGCGCACGTTTACTTCTTGCCCTTCAGTGTAACCAGGATGGTGGCTTACCTCTATCAGCCTCTTTCCTATGATATCTCTCCTCTCCAACGGTTTGTCTCTGGTTACGTAAGATCAATCTCGTCCAAATACCCTTTCTGGAATAGGACTCAAGGCGCTGATCACTTCATGCTCTCTTGCCATGATTGGGTAAGTTTCTTCTGCACCAGATTCTGCTAACGTGAGCAGGTGGGAGCATGCATGTTAACATTCATTAATGGCTTTCTGAACAGGGTCCTCATGCCACCAAAGGCAACCCATTCCTCTATAACACATCCATACGAGTCCTCTGCAATGCCAACACCTCCGAAGGTTTCGTCCCTCGAAAAGACGTCAGCCTCCCGGAGATCAACCTCTACGACGGCAACATCTCGCCCAAACTCCTCTCACCACCCTCGGACGATGCACCACGGCCATATCTGGCATTCTTCTCCGGCGGCCTCCACGGTCCAATTCGACCCATACTCCTCCAACACTGGAAGGGTCAAGACACAGACATCCGCGTCTACGAGTATCTACCAAAAGAGCTCGACTACTACTCTTTCATGCTCCAGTCTAAGTTCTGCTTGTGCCCGAGTGGATACGAAGTTGCCAGCCCAAGAATCGTCGAGGCCATCTACGCCGAGTGTGTGCCTGTAATTCTATCGAACAATTACGTCTTACCGTTCAGCGATGTTCTACGGTGGGAAGCTTTTTCGGTTAGTGTCCGAGTGTCGGATATCCCAAGGTTGAAGAAGGTGTTGAGAGGAGTTTCAGAGGATGAATACAGGAAGTTGAAGGCGGGAGTGAGGGCGGTCAGGAGGCATTTCGTGTTGAACCAGCCAGCGAAGAGGTTCGATGTGTTTCATATGATACTGCACTCTATATGGCTCAGGAGACTCGACATAAAGATTGCTGCAAATAGATCGATGCATGATTAATTGATATGTCTCTGTAAGCGTTTTGTAGCTGAGAAGATAGTGAAATTAGAGGAAATAAACAGCAATTCTTTAATTTTATATGTGAATGGTCTGTTCTTATCAATATTATTAGCAGCCTGAACTATAAAGTGAAGCCTGCAATGGGTTTATTATTATTCGTTGACATTGAAACTACACGGTTGGTGTTGGTCTAGATGGGTTCTGATTCCTGAGAGTGAGAGACCTAAGTTTCAGTCTTTCAGATATATATATATATATATGTTCATGTTCAACACAACACACCAACTCAAAAGGATTCAAGAGATTAAGGAAATTTTACATTAACTCTGGCCCAATCACAGTTGAAACTCTTAACTCATTGCCACCCCAGAATTCCAAATTTATGGGAATTGGATTCCAACCCAAGTTAGGTCCAGGCGTCCAGCTACAGATAGTAGTGGCCTAGTGGGCCAGGCCATCAGTTCGAGCGTGTGTTGGATAAATGCCCAACACGTGCCAGGTCATCATTTTGAGCATATGCTGGATAAATGCTCAACAGGTCCCCCCACTTGACTACTCAATTGGGTTGAGCTTTGGCAGCCCAACAGTGAGAGAGATGACATGACGCCCTTCATTTTCCATTTGTCCCCACTTTCATGAGACCATATCTCCGCCCCCACAACGTCCCACAGCACATCCCGCCGTGTATTAGGAATCTTCCGATATGATATCAGAACTGATGATGTCATTATTGAGAGATGCTCTCACTATACGGCGGGAATATGCTGTGGGGCGTTGTGGGACGGAGATGTGAACTCCACTGTTTTGCCACCTTTCTATCCCAACTTCTCTCTGTAAACCAATAAACACAATGTGTCAACCATGCATGCTCCCATCGATTCAATATGTTTTACCTATTTTTATTTTATTTTATTTCCTTACATTCTCCTGTAAAAATTCACACCAATACTACTTGAATGTGTTACCTTGTTTCTGCTGTCCAACTGAATGAATTCTAGAAACCATAGCCGCGACAAAATGATGAATATGAGCCGAAATAGTGAATTGATATGGTTCAAGCAGCAGCTGGGTTATAAAAGAAGACATTCTCAGTTGGTTAGACAAGGAAGATGAGATGGTTGACGTACTAAAGTTGCTTTGGATAGAATGATATGCTTTGAGACTTTTCTTCTTCAAACATTATTAAATGTCTTGATTTCTTGAACTGTGAAGATTTGATGATCTCAGATTCTCAGTTAATTATCTCAAGTTTATCAAACATACACCTTAAAATCTTATCTTCTTCCTTCTCCCTCACTCGATTCATTAAAATCTGGTTGCTGGTATATATCATAATCTGGACGTGAGGTCAGAAATTGGGGTAATCATGGGCCTGGCTGGGTTTACACTTATGATAAGGGTTGAAGCCTGCGACCAGGCCCAGCCCAGCCAAAACACTAGCCATGAAATGTATGCCCAGACCAAGTCTATACGGCCTCAGGTCGGGCCAGGTTGTGCTTTTAGGCCTAAGCCACTAATTCAATTTTATAAGATATATATAATATTTTATATTATATAATATAATACAAGATATAATTTATATTATAAAACATTATACATAATATATATATATATATATTAATGTGTTAGTTTTTAATATTTATATAAATAATGTAATAAATATAATACAAAACATTAATATAAGTATATATCAATATATAAATAATATATTACGGGGCCAGGTCGGATTTCCAACCTAGGCTAAGAATGACCACCCCTACTTTGAAGACTGTAAAATATCTAAATTCATTTGTCTTACATTCAAATATTTTTGGAACTGTATCCTTAGAAGTTAGTTATTATCCTATAACTAAAGAACGACCCATACTAAGTATAGCGCAACAATACCAATATATTATTTTGTGTTTAAGAATTATTATTTATATTATATTATATATAATTTGAGTTTTTTATTTCAAGATAAATTCAATCAGATTTAATTTGTAATTTAGAACCTATTTCATTTATAAAAATGGATTTTACATCTTTTTAAGTGGTATTTTTTTGATAGGTAGATACATGTTTGAAGAAGTTAATACTTTCTTTTGAATGTGGAGTTAACTATTCTCACATTCCCAATAAGAGTGGGTAGGAAAATGTCTAAATAAGAAAGTTTGAATTTGAGAGTGGGTAGACTTTGTTTGAAAGTAGGAGTAATCCACTTTTTAGATGTTCCTTCTTAAAAAAATAAAATGTCATTATGTAGTTCAATACTTGTTCTTATTTTTAAGGCCCCATTTGGTTCATTGGAATAAGGGTTTGGAATCAGAATCAGAATGGGCTATTCCAATTCCAACTGTTTGGTTGGGCAGAAAGGGAATCCCATTCCCATTATTGCTGGAATGGCCATTCCCTTCCCTGCCCCTCCTTTGGGAATAAAATCCCATTAACTGAATCAAACAGACTATAGGAATGAACCATTCCGATTCCAAATTTAAAAGGTTTTGATTCCGGTTCCAATTCCAACTGCGAACCAAACTCTAAATTTTGTTAAGCGATTGTTGTAACAACTGATGAAACCTTGATATAATTTTGATTACGCTTATAACTCACTGCAATGTTTTTTTTTTTCCCTATCTCTTCATTTGCATACTGCATATTCTCATTTTCCCTCACACTTGTAAATTTTTGGCAAAGAAGAGTCATTTTCATGTATAAGTTCATTCTCATGCTGTTGAGAATTTTGCATTGCAAATTGCCTCGTAAGTAGAGGATATAGGGGCGAAATTGGAAAAGAAAGAGCTGCCTCCCCTACTGGCACATAATAATTGTGTCCCTCTTGACAAGTTATGTTTAACTATGCTGCAACCTGTAAACATTTTATGACAAGTTTGCCCCATCACGAGTACCTGACTTTTCTAAAATAAATCATATCTATGTAGCTTGTTAATCACATTATATATCTAATTTAAGGTTGCATAGGGACCAGACTGTGGCTTTTTTAGAATGGTCCACTCCTGTCTGAGAACAAAACCGTGTAGTCAGCCTTAAAGCTGCCATCAATCGGGTTGTTTAGTGAATAGTCTGAAAAATCAATAAAATCATTCAAGAGGCAGTTTGGTTGGGGACCCCTTAAGATTGTTGGATTTTGACCAATTCAACTCTTCGTTTTTTGGATTTTATATTTATAATATATCATATTATAAATACTATAAATATATATTTATATATAATAAAAAATAATATATGCTATATATTAAAAATATATATAATATACATAAAAGTATATAGCTGTTGGTTAAATTAACCTTATTTTAGGTTTATTTTCTTGGTTAAGTTCAGTTTTTCGCTTTTTCCCCTCAAACCCCACTTTGCAAAGAGGTTTACTTTCTATGTGTTGAAAAGCCTTAAAAGATTAGAGTTAAAGAAATCTTGGGGTTGGGCTATGATAATTGGGCCCATTAAATTATTCGGACTTCTAAAATTGACATGTATCACATGCTTGGTGGATGATCATGGCCCATCATTGATGGGTGCTATCATAGAGATTCAACTGGGTCTAAATTTTAGAATCACTCTGAAGAATAGTTTTTTTTTTCATGATGTGACTATACAAGTGTACAACTCATATAAACAGTATGGAGAGTATTTTTCAGACAGTGCGCTTACCCATCAAAATACACACCTCTTTTTGAGATATTGCATCTTTATTTTTCAACTGTACATGATCAATTCAATGTGGTAATTGGTTAAATCATCTAATAAGAATCTTATTAGATAACTTCTGGCTCAGATTGGAAGGAGTACAAAAGTAAATATGTAGAGTGTAAAATCTTATATTTTGTATATTTTTATATTGTACATATTTGCATTTGTACAAATGATTTGTGTAAATTCCGATTATTTTTGTTTTAAATTTTATCTTATTTTGCTTGTTTGCAGTTTGGTTAAAGCAAAAACAAAACCTGAGACAAAGTAAGGTAAAAGTTGAAGCAAAAGCGGGCCAGAATTTGCATTCTCACGCATTTGTACTTGCTAAATGAAGTTGCATTCTTATCATAGGTGTTTAGCCCACCGGGCTAGATTGCCCCTAGCCTAATGTTTAGGATTTATACGATAGCAGTAAGTGTGGTGTATCCTAATTGGTAGAGGTGTCAATTGGATTGGATTTTATCCTATTCAATCCAGTCCAATGTGAGTACATTACAAATGACCAGGTCCAATCCAATGAATATTTTTTACCATTTTGGACTGGTCAAATTCATTGTCTAGACCGTCCAATCTGCTCAAATTTGTTTTAATTTAGATCAATTCTAACCTAAACCTGGTCCATTGACATCTATATTCTTATCTTCTACCGATGGACCAGATATTGGCTCAATCCAACCCAATCAAATGTAAATTCATTATGGATGGACCAAGTTCAATCCAAACCAATAAATATTTTGAATTGAACCATTAAGTCTGAACTAGTCCAATTCAATATATCTTATTGATTGGTCTGTCCATCTGCTCAAATTGATTTTGATTTGGACGGATCCAGTCCAAGGACACCCCTACTAATTGGCCCATCAAAGTCGGTACAGTGCAGATGTGGCAAAAAATTTGACTGTCTAAATTCATCAGCCTAGGCTGTCAAAAGGGCTCTTCCTATATAATCGTGATGCATTAATTCAGACTCCAAGTAGTATCGGTGCCATGGATGTATTGTATTGGGAAAAACTTTAGCCGTTGGGAGCCAACAGCCTATACTGTTGAGACAATTTCTGGGAATGCCACGTTACCATGAGAATGGATAAATTAGTAATTACATATTAGTTTATTTTTACTAAAAACCAAAACATGGACGTGAATAGATAAACTGCCCAGAACGTGCCCAACCCAGAAACTGTCTCAACGGCCTATGCTGTTGGGCCCCAACAGCCAAAGTTAACCCATTGTATTGTAAATAGAATTAACGCGCCACACAACAGAACAGCCCTGTTGACAGCCCAGGCTGCCGAACATGGACAGACAGTTTTTTATTGTCGCCTATCGTGCCTAACACAAGTCCAATACAATCAATCTATCCAAAAAACGATTCCAATA